GTTCCCGTGCACAGCATGGGTGCACCTCGGCCCTGCCCAAGATCATCGTTGCTGGCTTCAAGGCGGTTCACCTCATCTACTTCTTCACGTGTGGCCCCGGCGAGGTGCGATGCTGGCAAATCAGGAAGAACTCCAAGGCGCCGCAGGTGTGCGGGCTGGTCAGCTGTGGCAGTGGTTGTTGAGTGTTGGGTGTGGGTGGCCCACTGCACACAGGCGGGGGCAATGTGCAGGTTGCAAACGCACAAGCTCGATGACGGGTGTGATGCGTGCGCTGCGCTGCGGGGTGACTGGAGCGTAGCGCGCGGCCCGCCTTCAGGTCGAAGGCACACAGGGGCGTGCAGGAGCTGAATGTGGCTGAATGAGATCGTGTGTCCCGCCTGGGTGCTCTGAACAGCATCACACTGAAGCAGTCCCCCACGTGTCAAACCCCCCACACTCACAAACACCTCCCCGACACCACAGGCGGCGGGAGCAATCCACAGCGACTTTGAGCGCGGCTTCATCTGTGCTGAGGTCATGCACTACGACGAGCTGAAGGAGCTGGGCAATGAGAATGGTGTGTCCTGGGGCGGGGAGGATGTGGTGCATGGCTGTCCATGCAGGGGAGGCAAGGTCGGCTCACCAGAGCATGATCTTCTTCAGAGCCTCAACCCTGCATACCCTCGACCTGGTTCCTCCCTCACCGCAGCCGTCAAGGCGGCTGGGAAGTACCGCCAGGAGGGCAAGACCTATGTCATGCAGGTGCGTGGGAGGCAGGGAGGACATCTGTGAGGGGCCCAAATGCTCCACGCCGTGGTTTTCCGAGCTGATGGGTGTGCTTGCTGCGATGGCAGAGTTTCTGTGCACGAGGCCAAAGACAAACACGGCAGCATCACCTTCCCACACCCCAGGACGGCGACATCTGCCATTTCAAGTTCAACGTGACGGCGGAGAAGAAGAAGTGAGGTCATTGGCGGGCTTCAGCTCGACAGTCTACGCTGAGGTGTCAGTGCTTGCCAATGGTCAGCATGCCACTGCATGGTCATGCTGTACAAGGAGAGCACTGGCAACAGACACTGTCCCAGTGGATCTGCACCAGGTAGGGAGCATAAAACTATCGTTTCAAGTCTGTGCGCCGTGAGGCTACATGCTGCCATGAAAAGCATGATGCATTGCAGCGGGATTCTACATTGTACGGTGGGGTTGACATTGCATAGTATTGCAACAGGGAGAGCAGGGCGCGGACTACTAGTGACCGACAAGGTATGATTTCTGACTCCGATGGTACTACCTCGTAAGGACCATGGTGCACCACTTCATCATAGTAAGACAGCTTAGGAGTCTAAATGCGTATGATCTCTCAGCATCCAGCCCGGTGAAACCCCTTCATGATGCCCCAAGCTCCGACCTATTGAAACTCAGACAGGGCTGCCTGGGTGCGAGGGCAATGCGTCACACGCTGATCGCCCGTGTCTGAGCATATAAAGCAGATACATGAATATATCTGCTTGGCGGACTCGGCCTGCACGCATGTACGTCCCCAGGCCGACGCACTTCCTCGCCCTCCCGCTAAACCATGTGCCTGGCCTGCAAGCCGCTGTGAGGGCAATCCAGACCGACCTGGTCGGCTGTGTGCCGTCACTGGCGCCCACCCTTGTCGATCCTGCCAGTTTGCACATCACGCTTGGAGTGCTGAGTCTCCAGGGAGAAGAGGCCTGCAGGTAAACTCTCGCGCTCACACTGGCAGGTCCGGGCAGGGATGGCAACCCGCCCGCTGCGCTGTAGCCTTGAGAACCTCCCCCATTGGAGGACACAAACTGCAGGGAGGTAGCCGATGTTGCCCATGCCGTCCTGCACGCCGCAACGCCTCCAGCCCCGTCCATCACCCTGACAGGGCTGAGTGATTTCAACCACCGGGTGCGCAGCTGGGGTGCACATTTCGGGCGGTGAGAGAACGGTGCAGACAGCTTCACACAACAGAGCAAAGATCATGCACTGACTCCTAGCCTGAGCTGTGCCAGGTTCTGTATTGGGACCTCGTGCCTGACGCAGGCAGGCGGAGCCTGGTCAGGCTGGCAGACTTGCTGGAGCAAGGGCTTGTGCAGCGGGGCCTGATGCAGCCATCTCGGCGGCCCTTCACTCCTCATCTCACCCTGGCCAAGGTGCCACCAGCATCACCCCGATTGAGGCAGGCACAGGGTGAGCGTGAGGTGGCGGTCTGGTGGGGAAGAGGTGCAGGGGACCTGGTTGGTGTGGGTTGCGCCTCAGCGACCGACGCCGACATCTTAGATGCTGCCGCCTTCACCAGAAGTCCAGGCAAGACTCGGACGCTTACGTATACCAACCACAGAAATAATCAAATCTGTTCATCATTCCATGCAGCCCCCAGAGACGTCCCTGCCGAGGCATACTCTGCCAACATGGGTGCAACATATGGCCCTATTCTGCTGTCCCAACTACAACTCTGTGCCATGCGTGGACGGCTCCCAGGGTGCTACTACCCGACTCTGTTTGAGCTCAGCTTGGATGGAGCATGAGAAGCGCATAATTTGGGCATTCCATCGTTCGTCAGTGTCCCACTCTGACGTGACCAGTGTGTCCATCAATTTAAAGCCACCGCAACATGCATGCAGACCTATCACACATACAGAAGACGGGTATGGCCTACGCTCCGTATTCCTGTGCAGTTGACAAAGGATCGACAATGAGACGGATGATGGATGGTTGCATCACATTCAACAAGTTGAAAGCAACAAGGTGTCTACTCCAGGTGCATGCGCGTGGGCAACAGGGAGCACACGCACAATTTGGCACCCAAGCATATCAATCTGGGCGCAACTAAATACAGACAGCTCAGAGTCGTAACTAGCTGTCTGGGAGTGTGTGCGTCCAATGGAACTGTATCCCTCTTGCAACCCCGCACTCCCACTGCTCACCCTGTGGGAGCGAGAAGGAACAGCAGTCACCTTTCACTATGTTGTGGTCCAGAATACCAGTCTAAGCAATGATACAAAGCCGTGGATGGCATTCCTTACTCTTTCCTGAATGTCTGCGCGGCGGTACCGCGGCGTAGCCAATGACCCGAAGAATGTGGTAACACATGGTTCCGGAAGTCGCGGTATGATCATATGTTTGTCAAATGATGATCAGAACGGGAGTCGTTGCGTCCAAATCCATCACAAGTGCGATCTGCACTCTCCGACCGTGCATTGTTCACGTCGGCATTTATCGACCGAAGTCCGGTGTTGATTTCTTGCGAGGGCAGAAACACAAGTGCCCCAAAGGTGGACTTCAATCCACGCCCTCCGCCATGGCTGATTCAGATGTGGATGAATATCAAAAACGTTGGGAGGCAAGCTGGAATGCAGGTCTCAAGCCCGGCGAGGTGAGCGTGTGCGACTCATGCCTGCACCACCCGCTTTGCTCCCTGTGCTGTGGTCTGGATCTCATGCGATGCTGCACAGTGCGACCCCCCCCCCAACCCTATTTCGATCAATACTTCGCACCACAGAGATTCGATGCATGTCAATCATCGCCTGCACTGCTCGACCTGCTAAAAAGGGGAACCGTGGCTGTGGAGGGGAAGAGGGTCTTCGTGCCGGGCTGTGGCAGAGGGTACGACCCCGTGACCTTCATCAAGGCTGGCGCCAAGGAGGCCATCGGCCTGGAGCTTGCCCCTTCGGCAGTGAGTGACTCGAGGGTGCAGTGTGAGCCGTGTGCAGTGTTGGCCGAGTGCGCGGTTGATGCGGAAACACACTGAGCGTGGAATGGCTCCACACGAGGACCATTGGTCCACGTGACCCATCCACCCATGCTGCAGACCCCTGCAGCCAACGAGTACATTGCAGCGCAGTCGGTGGATACCAGCAAGTGCTACGTGGAGACCGGTGACTTCTTCAAGTGGAAGGACCCTGCTGGCTTTGACGTCGGCTATGACTAGTGAGGAAGGGTTCATGAGCGTGAGGAGGAAGGGCGTGTATCCCCTGCATGGCCGTCTCTCACACAGAGGATGGTGGAGTGACCGGGCGCCATGATGCATCTGTGCCCAGACTGTTGTGCCCTCCCAAACTTGAATTCCGCCATGCACCTTCCAGTTGTTCGAGCCACTCAAACGCCTTTTTCATCTCCCGCAGTACCTTCTTGTGCGCCATGCATCCGACCATGCGCGAGGACTGGGCCAAGGCCTGGCATGGGCATCTGTCGCCAGGAGGCAAGCTCATCACCCTCATCTTTCCCATCAACCCTGCGGCAGACCCTGGACCGCCCTGGTACATCCACGCAGACATGTGCAAGGAGCTGCTCATCCCCGCAGGCACGGCAGTGGATTTTGTGACCAAGGGAGGGGGGGTGGGGGAGGGGGTTGCTGCCGTGCGACGGCAAGTGTGGCATGGCGAGTTCAATGCACTGTAGGCGACTGCCAACCAAGCCAATCACCCCTCGCAATCCCAGGCTTTGAGCTTGAAACCCTGGAAAAGGTCCCGGACGAGCTCAGTCACAAGGGCCGCGAGGGCATGGAGATGACGGCTGTGTGGCGGCGGATCTGAGCGCAGAGGAGCTGGTGATTTCATCACAGCTCATCCTTCCCTGGTGCACTGTGATGACACTCTGGATCGCCTGTAATCTAGCTGGCCTCTGGGAATGAACCAATGAAATGGGAGGGTGGGCTCACCGTCGATATCCGGTGTGGGAGACCTTGGCGTGGCATCGAAGCCGGTGCGCAGCATGGGACCCGCACATGGGTGCATGCCGGCCAGGCCCTGCAGGTTGAGCCCTTTTCAGACGACATGCGATCCCCTTCACATTTGTCGCACTGCTAGCATGGAGCGCACATTGCATTCCTGCACAAGTGCACGGCCCCATGTGGCCTCTCGCGTCGGAGGGCAGGCTCTCGGGATCCTGACGCCGTGTTCCCATGTTCCACATGCCGGGCTCGGCACGGTGCGGCAGCCCCGGAGGACGCCAATGACACCATGCATGGCTGTCAAGGACAAGAAGGGCCCCCAGAGATTAGAGTTTAGGTACCAGCAGTGTCAGTGATGGGGCCGCATGGGGTGGCCCCATCATGCATGGTCAATCCCTGTCTCATGAAAGCCGATGCTGCGTCCCATCCCTCCCACCCGCGCAGGCCCATAACAGACAAGGAGGCCAGTCTCCGAGTCGAGGTGGAGTCACCCTTCCGGAGTCTGAGGATCATAGTACTGGGGTTCTGCATCGCCAGCGCTGGCATCGGCTCCCTCTTCAGCCTCGTCTACATCCTCAAAGACGGGGTGCGATGAGGGTGCAGGCGCCCCTCGCCCTCCACGTGGAGCTGCTTGTCCAATCCTGGTGTGTGCGTTTCCAACCTGCTCCACCAGCGTGACACCCAGTCGCCTTGATGAGCCCCCTCGCCACCCTTCCCTCCCATCCCTCCAAGCAGCCTGATGCCTGGAAGAACCTGGGGATCAATGCGGGTGTGGTGGCCGTGGCCGCCTGGCTCCTGCGCCGCGATCTCAAGGCGCGGGGCACTGCTGTCAACCGCGTGATGCGGGAGGGCCAGCTGGGGGCGTGCGAGGTCCAGCTCCAGAACGGGAGGAGGCTCCGCCTCGCCGACCTCCGGTGGGCCGGGCGGGATGGAGTGTGCTTGGTTCCAAAACACATCCGAGAGTGGGTCTTTTGCCTGTGACACGTGCAGGGCGTCTCCAAGGCCTGTGGATGGATCTCTCAGTGACAGGTTTCTCCAAAACAGCTTTGCCTGGCCACCTCCCCCCGCCCCTTCCCGCACACACAGGGGGTCAGCACGGGTGGTGATCATGGTCGGGACGCGGGAGCAGGTGGAGGCCGCGGTGGGGGCCGCGGAGCCTTTCCGGGAGAGACTGCAGGCGGCGGGGGTGCTGCTGGTGCCGGCTGCCATCTACGACCAGGGCAGTGGCACCTCTGACGGCGCCGCACCCCAGGCCTCCGCCGCGGACCTCAAGTGCGCTCCGGCGGAGGGGGATGCTGTTGGCGTCGACTCATGCTGGGTTTTTGGCTTGGGGTCTGCTGCAGGGTGGTGGAGGTGCCCCCATGCTGGCACGGCGCCTGAGCCTCCATGTTCAGCCTCCAGCATTCGACCCAGCCCTGCGCCCGGCCCCCGCCGCAACCCCCCACTCCACCCGTCCCTTTGCAACCCAACCCCCTGTCCCAGGTGGGTCGCCCAGCCGGTGCGGCTCGCTGAGTGGCGGACCTGGTTCGAGCAGCAGACCAAGTCGCAGGGCACGCCCACCGCCGGGGGCCTGTACATCAGCCTGCGCCTGGATGGGCGCATCCGCGCCAGCGGGCGAGGCTCCCCGCCCTGGGAGCAGCTGGCCGCCCAGCTGCCGTCTGTCAGCGGGTTCTTTGGGGGCTTCCTGGACGGCATGGACGGCAGGGTCTGAGCTGAACCTGGGGCGAGCCTGTCACTGTTCAGAGTGCTCTGTCGGCATGTGGCTCGGGCGGTTTGAGATGCTCACGAGTAACGTCAGCCATGCCCCTGCGCATGCATGTGGGGCGGGTCAAGGTACAAGCCGACGTTGGAAAGGGCTAGGCAAGGGCACGATGTGTAAATATCATGAGAGGCCCGGGCGGTGTGACAGGGGCCGGACAGTGAGCCGACCACGAAGCGTGTGGCTTGGGTGCTTGAAGCGCCCAGTGCCAGGCAGCTCAGCCCGCCGCCGCCCGCGCCTGCTCAGCATGAAAGTAGGCAAACACCTGCTTCAGCATGCCCCTGGTCGGGCGGGCGGCGGGGCTGGCCGCCGCCACGACGCCCAGGTACCTCTGCACATCCGTCTTGCTGACGGCGGGGGTCCCGGTGCCCGGCCCGCCCTCCCTCGGACGGAGCCCGCCGGCGGCGTCGATGGAGTAGAGCGCCGCCAGGACGGCGACGGCCGCGCCGGCGAGCGCGTCGCCGCCGGCGTCGCCCAGCATGCCCACGCGTCGCCCGCCCCGCAGCGCGGGGCAGACCGCGTCCAGGACGGCGGGGAGGCGCCGGAGCAGGCCCGCCTTGTCGCGCTTGCAGGGCGGCACGGGCAAGGCCAGCATGCCCAGCCTGGCCGCTGTGGCGCCTGGCGCAGCGCCACAGTCCTCGCCCGTCGCCGTCCGCAGGTCCAGCACCAGATCCACGAGGAGGGCAAGCCTGTCCTGGTCGGCGTCCAGCGCCAGGAAGAGGTTCGTCCCGGGCACGACAACAGGCCGCCTGCTCGAACCCGCCGCCGGAGCCTGGGCCCCGACCCCGGCCCCCAGCCCCGCCGGCAGCGGGTGGTGCTGGTCCGTGCAGGTTCCTGCGCCGCGCCTGCGGCCCTGTCGGGGCAACAGGCCGCCTGGGCCTGGCCTGCCGGCCATGAGCCGGGCCGCAAGCGCCTCGGCGCCCGCTGGGCCGGCCTCCAGCAGCTGCCTGTGGTGCTGCCACATGACCTCAGGGGACAGGCCCCCGGCCCATGTCTCCTCATCGTCCCCGGCCCCCGGGACGTAGTCATACGGAAGTTGCAGGGCGTCTGGGGTGTGCGGGGATGGGGGTGATGCGGGTGCCGAGGGGTGAGGGCAAGGGTTGGGTGCCAGGCCCTGTTGTGAGGCCAGGGTACAGGGTGTGTGCATTCAGGAGCAGGAGCGCGAGGGGAGGGGCCCGCAGGAAAACATAACGAGACAGCACAGCGAGAAGCTTCGCATCCGCCCTGCACCGCCCTGCCCCCCCTCACCGCCGTCAGCCGTCGGACCGAGCTCCAGACATCGCCGCTGGCGCCCGGAGGAGAGGGAAGCCGACGCGAGGATCAGGGGTGTGAATGCCAGGTCAGCCAGGGAACCGTCCATCGCATCACCCCACGTCCGGCTGTCATGCGCGAGCCACATGCACCGCAGCGGTTTCAGGAGGGTGCCGGCGAGGCCGTGGATGTCGGGACAAACGTGCAAGAGGTCTGCCGCCCAGCCGTCCAGCCGGAGGCCGATCTGGTGTGCTTCGCTGTCCGGCACCCAGGCAGGGAGGTGGAGGGCTGCATCCCAGTCTGACTCGTCGACCGTCGTGCCCCGGAGCTGGGCCACTGCACGATTTACAACGGCCGCCCAGATGGGAAGGGTCTTGGAGAAGGCGTCCTGTGTGAACAGGACAGATACTTTTGAAAGCCCGGCTTGGAATCGGGACGGTCCCTGGCACCTTGCACGGCAAAAGTTTCCCGCAGCTGTCTTGGGTGTGCGTGAAGAGGGTACTGATTCTCCCAAACTATCCTTGGCCTGTGTGGCACCCCACCTCCACCACACTCACGGGGAAGCGCTTCCCACGGCGTGTGGCATCTACTATGATGCAGCCCCCATGCCTTGCAGACAGCTGCGCGACGTTGAGATTCAGGCGGGTCGTGGAGAAGGACCAGTTGCCAGAGTGCCCATCGGTGCTCTTGAACGCGCAGGTGTGGGTGGGGTCGGGCACGTACCACCCACCACACCGCAGATTGGGAAGGACCGGCACGCCCGGGTACCGGGCTGTCACATCCTTTACGAACTCATGGTCATGCACTATAGATGCGATGCAGTTGTAAAGTCCGTGCTCCGCGCGTTTGAGGGCTCTCAGGACGTGCGTGAGGGTGGGAACCTCGTTGCGCGGAAGATACTCCATATGCCTGGGTAGACCTCCGAGCCATCACCCTACACCCGTTTGCATGCATCCTTACTGATCTTGATGCCCTGCAGTTCGCAGTGCGGATGCACGAACGCGCTGCAGCATCGAGTCCCCTCGCAAGTGATGACGACAGTGGGGGGCACAACGCAGACCTGTTGTCATGTTGCCGCGTGTGCATTACCATGGGGTGGACTTGAAACACCCCTTCACCAACCTGCGAGCCAAAAAATTGACATATTATATATTGAAGTATATACTACATGCATGGTTATCGCCTCTGCTGCAGGCTCCTTGAAACTATGGAACAACGTGCCTAAGCATTATTTACTTTCCGTACGTCGAGACTCCATTACAACAGCCCAACAGCAAGGGTAGTCCCCTGATCTGGGCGAGGAGCCGGCGTTCGCCATGCTCGCAATCGCCAAGGCCTTCTCCCGGGCGTTGGGCGGGCGAGGGATCGAAACTCTGGGGGTACGTGCCTATGCCAAGGCACTCGGCGATCAGAGCACCCTCCCCCTGTCCACCGGTCGGCCCCGGTTAGTCATCCTGGGCACCGGGTGGGGCGGGGCGCGTCTGGCCCGCGACATCGATCCCAAGAAGTTTGACATCACGGTGATTGACGTGGAGACGGGGGATCTGGGTGATCCAGGGGCCCCCTGCGCTGAGAATATGAGGGCATAAGGGGCATGGTGGTTGATTGCCCCCCGCGGCAGCTGCATCAAGCCTTGGCAGCTGCATCAAGCCTTGGCACCCACTCCGTGGGCTCCCGTCCCCTCTTGCACGGTCTCCAGCGCCAAGTGGCGGCATCGTTGCCCCCCTTTCCCCCCTCCCCCAGATCATCTCGCCACGCAACCACATGGTGTTCACTCCTCTCATCGCTTCCAGCTGCGTGGGCACCCTGGAGCCCCGGTCTGTGACGGTGCCCATCACCGACATCCAGCCTGCCCTGCGTCTTCCCCAGAACAACTTCCTGGTGCGGCTTGGGTTGGTGCAGTGAGAGGGGCTGGGGATCGATGGTCATGCTACGCTGGGGCTTGTTGCGGCTCCTCCATCCCCCATGTCGCCTGTTTGGAGGATGCTCGCCCCGGCTGCCATGCCTGCTTGCTCACTCACGCTCTCCCCCCCTCTACCTTCCATCCATCCGCCAGCTGGCAGAGTGCGACGCGGTGCACACCCAGGACCGGCTGGTGGAGTGCAGCAGCACGCACGACGGGCTCAAGTTCTTTGTGCAGTACGATGTGCTGGCCATCGCCACTGGCTCCCAGGGCAGTACCTTTGGGATCCCGGGGGTCACCGAATACACCATGCCGCTGCGGGACGCCGCAAACTCCACCGACATCCGCACGCGCCTCATCCAGAACTGGGGCGAGTCCAGCATCCCGGGTGGGTGGCGGAGCGCTGGGTGCGGGGCGGCGCGGTGCTCGGGACTGGGGCATCGTGTTGGCAATGGGCCTGACTGGCACGCGGTGGGACGGCGTGCACCCGCGACAGACGATACCCAGGGCAAGACACCCCGCACACACACACCTTCGCAACACATCCCTCCCCCCCCCCTCCTCCTCTCTCCCTCCAGGCCGCAGCCCGGCGGAGCGGGCGCGCCTGCTGCACGTCTGCGTCGTGGGGGGCGGCCCCACCGGCGTCGAGTTTGCCGGGGAGCTGGCCGACTTTGTGCGCAAGGACTTGGCCAAGCTGGACCCCAACCGCGCGCGGGACATGCGCATCACGCTGATCGAGGCCGACCAGCTGCTCAGCAGCTTCGACGCGCGGCTGAGGGAGTATGCCGCGCTCAAGCTGACGCGCGCGGGGGTGCACCTGGTCAAGGGCATCGTGAAGGAGGTGTGTGTGCTTCAAGACAGTGGTGGTTTGTCTTCGTGCGCGGGGGGGGGGGGGGGGGGG